GGTCTGTGTGGGTGGGCTTACGATACACGCCAGTTTCCAACCGTCCTCCATCTGAAACCGAGACATCGCAATCCAGGATTATAACGATCGGACTACTTTTTAATGAAATAAACAAACACGATCGTAAAGTTGATTTGTCTTYTTTGCAATAGGTTCGCTGTTGCAAATAAAAGCCTATGTTTATTGGCTCATTTACAAAGACTGCAAATGCAGAAAATTATCAGGAAATTTCAATTGTAAAAACACTATTAGAAAAATGTAATATTTATTTAATAAAAAAGTAAACAAGTTGCAAGGTCCTTAAAAAATAACTTTTATTTTGAAGTATACAAGGGACCTGATTTCCGCCTTCTCTCATTGTTGTTCTTTTACCTTGTCCAAGTAATTTCTCACACATCGTCTGTAGCAGTTGTGTGAAACACAAACAAGATGATGGACTGAGTCTTTAGTCGTGCCTAATTTATTTATATTTTTTTATGAGAAGCCAGACTTTTATATAATCTTTTAAAGTGATCTTTGGCAACAGATCTCCTTTTTTATTTTTAGTATAATTTAATTTCCCTCATTTGTTTTGTTTTGGATAACTGATGATTATATTTTTAAAAAAAACTATTTTCTACAAAAGCTTATTTTTTAGATGTGACAGTAAAAACTAAAATTAATTTAAGTAACATTTTTAGTCATTTCATTTTGAATTGGGTTGAAGTACACAAAAAAAATGCATCTACTTCCTCTAAGTTTCAACAAAATTTGTCTGAAGTGAAAAGCTAAAATAATTTAAAAAAATAGCTTCTGATTTGTATTCTGCTGGATAAATATTTACACATTTCTGTTCATTTAAGCCTCTCCAGAAAGTTGTTTAGCAGCAGCCTCTCCCTCTCTTTTTCAGCTAATTCACTGTGGATGAAAACACACAAATCTACATTTGCAGTGGTGGAGTACAAACACATTGCAAAACAAATACAGCGACAAAAGGCTGCATTCAGCGCTAACGTCCATTAACACAGAGAGAAGGTCACATTCCTTCATCCAAGAGCTAATCACTGGCACTGAATGAAGCCACTTCTCCCTCCCTCTCTCTGCTCACTGGATGTGTTCGGAGCGAGACGACAGAGGACTTTCCAGGATGGGCCTGTGCAGGATTAAAGAACGATCCTGTCTCGTGGCGCTGCTTCACGTCACACGAGGTCCTATACAGCGAGAGTGACTGTGAGAGGATGTCAGTGATTTAATGTCCAGTTAAAGGTCACTCTGCAAGTTGCATGAGGTAATCTGGACAAAAAAAAGGCAAACTGCATTCAAATAAAAKAACTGTGGTCGACTGGATGCGTTACAGAAAAAAGATGGAAGAAGGAAATTTGATTATAATCACGTCGGAATGCTCAAAAATTAGGTCATACCTCCAACTCTGCAGCCAGATCAGCCAAGAAAAAGTCGAACCTTTTCAAAAACGCATCAGGACGTCGAGGAAGTATGTGGAATTTTTGAAGCGGGTGTTCACATGAAAGTGCTATGAACACTCATTATCTTACCTGTTGTAGATGATTCTAGTTTGGAGAAGTAAAGTGTATCTTACCCCCCCCCCACCCCTGTGAAAAGATAACTCCGCCCCAAGGTGAAATTTGAAAAAAGCATCAAAGTGGGTGGGGGGGGGGGGGGGGGGGGG